TATTTAAGCTAGCCTTTTCTTTTAACTGTTGTTAAAAGTTCCAGTCTGGCTCTAAAAATTTTATTATGGTTGAAAATTGCTTACTACATGAAAAACAGAGATTTTTTTTTTTGAAGCGGACGATAATAATTTTATTCATGTAATGTTTATATTGAATGACACTTGATCTGCAATGTCCTGCGACTATTAGGGGTGTTCAAAGTTGTTCCGTTCCTGTTCCTGTTCCTTGTTGTACAATACCTTATTAGGTAATGGAAATAAGAATCAACTTTGAGCAGAAATTCCTAGTTGTTTCCATAACTTCTATATTTGGGGCTGATCTACACAATAAATTTATGCGTTTTTTTAACAAAGATGTCAACTCGTGAAAGAATTGAAGAGGCATTGTTTCTAAATCTATTCCAAGAAATAACCAAATTGGATGAATTTGATGAAAGTTTTGTTGTTGCATGTCATTATTATTAGTAGAAGTTACCTGAACCAGATAAATGCTTTGTTGTTGTTGCATATCATTAGTAGAAGCTACTCCTTGAACTGGACAAGGCTGTTGTACATTATTATTAGTAGAAGCTATTTTATGATATTCTTGTTTTCTTGTTTTCATTTTTTTATTTTTATTTTTATTATTTTTTATTTTTATTTTATTTTATTTTATTTTTTTTTTTGAAAATCGTTTCCAAATTTGGAAGTGGAAACAAGGAGAAACAACAAATTTGTTGTTTCTCTGTTCCGTTTCCTGTTCCTTCTGATCAGCCAAATTTAATTTTGACTGTGTAACAAGGAACAGGAAACAGGAATGGAACAACTTTGAACACCCCTATTGTAAACTTGTGCAACTTTGAGCCTTTCTAACTGCACAATGCTGTAACATATCAAAAAAATGAAATCGTAACTTTGTAGAGAAAGGTCTTAGCTTCAAAATTACGGCTTGTTTTTTTGGTGTTACATTTCCATTTTTGGAGTCAGAGAAGAATTTACAAGGCCAATAAAAAGTTGTGGGACTAGGTGTCTCACACTATATTTAAAAAAAAATTATTTAATAAATTCGTGTTACATGATTTGAACCGAATTTCCGGATTTAGGTTTATCATTACTTGTTTTAGTATAATACCAATTTGTTGGTTCTTGTACATCTTGAAGTTTTCTTTAATTATCTCGAAATTTTATTAAGAAGCTAAAATTAATCCTTGTAGTAAATTACACATAGGAGTGTTGTTAACTCAAAATCACGATTTTGGTAGTTATCCCCTTTTCTATTGTCCATGCCCCATATATCTAATAATAATGTAATTGAAAGAGCCATTGACATAAACACTATTGCAGAGCCATCCTTGAAGAAGAGGGATAAAGAAGTAAAGGATATACAATTTTTTTTATATTTATTGTGTTATGATTTTATTTCTAATGAAAATCCTATCTTTAGAATGATGATAAGGTTTTAAAATGGACAAAGACTGATTCAAATTATAATGAGGACAAGACAGATTTGGATTTGGATGAGATAGACTATAACAATTGCAATATTGACCCAAACATTGAATTATTGGAGAAACAGATACTGGTACAAAGTATCCTGATAAAGACAGAACATTAGAATTGGTTTCAGGAATCCCATTGAGAAAGATAAAAATAGACATTAAAAGGTTTCTGTTTTTTGTTGGGTAATAACACATCTTCATTCTGCTTTCTTTTCTTAGTGTTTATTATTTTTCTTTCTTCTTGGTAAATTTCATAGGTAATCCTTTCTTTATCTAAATATGTTTGTAAGGATTTAGTATCTGCTTGTAAATGAGTTTCATCATTAACTAGTTTTATATAGGTATCATTCTATATATCACAAATGGGATATCATAAAACTGATAATTATGATCACATTATAAAATCTAAATTTTGATCCCTGAAATTTTTGGTAATACCAATGTTCATTTTGTCTGGTATGCCCCATTTATTCACTCATGCCTAATAATACTACAGGAAAGAGAAAACATTCAAGTCAAGCTAGAAAGATTCATCGTGAACAAACCTTAAAAGAAATAAATGAATTAGAAGAAAAATGCCAAAGTTTGGTTATTGTCAAAAAAACATTTACCATCTAATTAATTGTAGAATTATACTAAGTTACTTTAAAAAAATTTAGAATGTCGAAGCCAGCTTTCAAAAGTTCAATGAACTACCAATTTCACCTCCTACGCTTGAGGGCTTACAGCAAGCAAACTTTATAGAAATGACTGAAATTCAGCAAAAAGCAATTCCACTTGCATTAAAAGGAAAAGATATATTAGGAGCAGCTAAAACCGGCAGTGGTAAAACTCTGGCTTTCCTCATTCCGGTAAATCAAACACTTTATCTTTTTGTCAAAAATCGATAGAGAATTATTTAACTAATAAAAAAAATTAATAGACATGTTTATTAATTTATAAATCAATTAATATTTAAAAGCTGATTGAACTACTATATAGAAACAAATGGACCCAATTAGATGGATTGGGTGCTCTTGTTATAGCACCAACACGAGAATTAGTTAGTAACAATTCTAAATATTTTGTTTTCTCATTTTCAATTTTATACAATAAATATATAATTGAATCGTTTAGGCAGTTCAGATATTTGAAGTATTACGTAAAATTGGAAATAGGCATTTTTTGTCGGCAGGTCTTATTATCGGTGGAAAGGATGTACAAATTGAACAAGAACGTATTAATAGAATGAACATATTAATATGTACACCTGGACGTTTATTACAGCATATGGATCAGACAGCATATTTTGAATGCTCTAATTTACAAATTTTAGGTAGTTAATAAGACATTTATAATAAGATATAATATAATGTAGTATAATAATTAGTTCATTGATTCATTCATTTATTTAGTTTTTCTAAAAAAATTTTGATTGAAATAAATAGTTTTAGATGAGGCAGATCGAATACTTGATATGGGATTTCAGAAAACTATTAATGCAATTATTGAAAATTTACCTAAAAAACGTCAAACTTTATTATTTTCTGCAACTCAAACAAATTCTGTTGATGATTTGGCGCGATTAAGCTTACAGGTACATGTATAAAATATATTTACGCGTTCCAGTCAATATTTATTGATTTTCTTAATAAAATTTTATCAGTCATATATTTATTTATATATTTGTTTCTGATTAAAGAATCCAAAATATGTCGCTGTCCATGAGAATTCAGAACATAGCACACCACAAGATTTATATCAACATTATTTAGTATGTGATTTGACGGAAAAACTAGACATTTTATTTTCATTTATCAAATCACATTTACAAGTAAAAGCTGTAGTATTTTTATCAAGTTGTAAACAGGCTAGTATTAATGATTTAAAAAATCACACACACATATATATTTGTTATTTCATCAAATTTATTTTTTGATAATAACGATGATGAACATTTATCAGGTTCGATTTGTTTTTGAAACTTTTTGTAAATTACATCCAGGAGTTCCATTACTTCATCTACACGGAAAACAAAAACAAACTAAACGAGTAGAAATATTTAATAAATTTTCAGCCATGAAAACGGCGTATTTATTTGCCACTGATATCGCGGCTAGAGGATTAGATATTCCAGCTGTTGACTGGGTTATACAGGTGGACGCGCCAGAAAGTGCAGACACTTATATTCATAGAGTAGGACGTACCGCAAGATATGATGCTTCAGGACATGGGTTATTGTTTTTACTTCCGTCGGAAGAACAAGGAATGAAAGAAGTTTTGAAAAAGAAAAAAGTTCCAATTGAACAAATTCAAGTGAAGTCTAATAGAATGACGAGCATACAGAAACAATTGCAGTTTTTATGTTTTAAAGATTCTGAAATTAAATATCTTGGACAAAAGGTGCTTAAAAATTTTCTGGTTTAATTTATTTTTTTAAAAACAATTGGTTGATACGACAATTATTCTATATTAGGCATTTATTTCTTATATGCGATCTGTTTACTTACAAAGTGATAAGTCAATATTTAAAGTTGGAGAATTGCCAGCTGAAAAATTTGCAGCATCTCTTGGATTACCAGGAACTCCAAAAATCAAATTTATCAAGGTGACTGAAACCTTAAATAAATTTGTATAGATAAATTCAAATTGATGATGAGCATTTTTTTAATTTATTAATTTATTAAGAAATCACAAGCAAAAAATGCAATACGTCAAAAACCCAGGGAATTTGAAGAAGATGAGGGTGGATCGAGTTCAAGTGACGAAGAGAAGGATGATGATAATAATAATCGTAACATAGATCATGAAGATGATAAAGTTATAGGAGGGGATGATGATGATGAATTTATTACTCTTAAACGTACAAATCACGAGCTTCCAAAGGAATTAGAAAATCCAGTATATATTATTTTTTTGATGTCTACTAATTATGTTTTATATATATATATATATATATATACATCTAAATTGATTTATGCAATAATTAATTATCTAGGATTATGAAAATCTCTCGAAACGTAAGTTGAAGGTAGCCAAATCCAAGAAATTATCAATCAAGAATGCGCCAAAAGGTGAAAAACTGGTGTTTGATGAAGATGGAAATGTAAATTTGTTTATTTGTTTATTTGTTCTATTTGTTTTATTTTAATATAGAAAAATATTAATATTTGAAACCTTAATTAAATAGCCACATCGAATCTATGAGTTGCGAGATGAAAAGGAATTCCACGCAGCGGGACCTTTAATTGTTCAAAAACAAAAATTCTTAAGCAAGGAATTAGAAATGATGGCATTAGAGGATCAAATGGACAAGGTGACTGCAAAAGAAAAAAAGATTGAAATGAAATTAAAGAAAAAAGCTAAATTATCAGTTGAAATTGATTAATAAAAAAATCAAAGTGCGTGTATTTTATTTATTATTGAAATTGATATTTTTGATATTTTGAATATGATAATATTAAGCTTTTGGGTTATTGTGAAATCTTCAAATCTTTAATTAAAACAATAAAAGCAATAGATGGTGGTGTTTGAGTTGGTGATGAATTTGATTGGGGTGGTTGATTATTACTTTGAGTTGGTGATTGAGTTGCTCGAGTGAAAGTTGTAGTTGTTTGTGATGTTGTTGACACTACACTTAATATTACGTGTGGATTATTGTCAGCGTATGGTGGCGATTTGGATGTACGGGTGCAGGATAATATCTGCATCCAACGCTAACCTTGATTATAGGATTCAGATTTGATAGTTTTTCTTCTTCTACAAACACACAGTTGCTGCTCTTTATGAACCCCTCATAGCTGTGAATTTTTTCTGGTGGCGAAGGTCCCCGCATCTTAGGAGACTTTGGACAAGTGAGAGGCTTTAACACTCTCCTTGACGACAACGCAATTAATAAATTACAGAGCCACCCCTCCTCCTCTCGAAATTTAATACATCGGGGGGTTAGTCCAATGTACGCTGGTGATTTTTAATATAAAAAATTTGTAACACATCACTTTGGGGGGTTAACATAATAATAAGGGGCGTTCAAAGTTGTTCCGTTCCTGTTCCTAGTTTACAGGACCTGGATCAACTTTAGCAGAAAATTTCCGATATACAGTGCAGAAGCTCTATAATAGGAACAAATGTTGCCTTTTTTTAAAAGGGTGTAGATCACCCAAAAAAAATTT